GTAAGACAGTAAGTAGTATAAATAATACATTGTAGATCTATACATTCTATAATAGGAGTAAAATAATTGTGGAATCTGAATAACAACATGGCTGATGATATTTCGAAAGGAAAACAAACGTTCGTAGGCAAAAGGTAGCTTCAAGAATGATATATAATATAGAAATAATAAGCCGATATGTCTACTTATCATACTAGGAAGTTTGATGATTACATAAAGAGAAACAATTTAATGCTATAGAAATACCTTTATGTAGAATTAATAGTGCCCACGATAGATCTGTGATGCATGAGAACGATAGAGCTTGCTTGAAAAATATTTATATATAAATCATATCTAAAGTGTGGCACCCTGGTAACACAATCTGGACAGGCTGGCAACGCCAAGACAAGAAGTGGAGGCTGATTAAAGCTCGTTGAATCAGTTACAGTTATCTGAAGTTGTCGTAGGAACTACTTGATGCATTAGTAAACCCATTCCATTGTTGCTGACCAGGGAATTGTATTTATATATCAATTTAGCATCAGAGCTCAGTGACTTGCTCGCTCTGTGGATGACAACGATTTGTGATGATGCCCTCAAAAAGTGCTTTAACGACTTCTATGGAAATTTCTACATGACTTTACGTATATTAAAATCAAGAGCCATGACAACAATGCGATGCGATGCGATGCGACGCGTCGGTCAAGAAAACAGCAGCTGTTGTTTTTGCTGTAATTATTATGATCGTTGTTATTGTTAGTGTTGCTACAATTGTATATTCAATTGTCAACGAGTGGGCGTGGCCGGAAGTAACAAGTGCTTAGAACTGATTGCCAAGTAAACAAGCAACAGTCGCCGCTTGAGGTCAGCGACAGGTGAAAGGCCAACGTCAAGCCAAGCCTCGCTGCGCTTGACTTTCCCCTGTCCAGTGCCTGCAGAGAGAGAGAGAGAGAGAGGGAAAGTGAGGGAGAGAGAGAGAGTGTAAGAGTGGTGGGCAGTGGGCGTGAATTGTAGGAAGTCTCAGTGTTGATATACCCATTAGATATGGAAAAACTGGGAAGAGGCTATATATGCAACAGGCAGAAGAAGAAGAAAAAGAAGAAGAGAAGACCTACCTATATATATATTATCTGAAAGTTGAGCTCGAAGAGAACTCAACTGACTGCAGTTAGCCCTTCTCTCATTCTTTCGCTTGGTCTTGCCTCCATGAGACTTGAGCTTCGCTTTACATCTAGTCTCGATAGATAGCCATAGGGTCTAGGATATCTGCTAGTCGAGCGCTCGTGACTTTCACTTGTTTCTTCTCTTGGCCGTAATTGTAACTGCCAAATAATTTGTTGCGCGGCTCTCGAGCTAAGCGATTATCATTATAATTATGTTCAATGCGGTTGCGATTGCGATTGCGGTGGCTCGTGATTAGCCAAGAGCGCTACAAAATCTCGACACTCGACAATGGACAGCGGACGCGTGGATCTAACAGAGATGCCGACAACAACAACAGCAGCAACAACAACAACAACAGCGGATGTGAATGACTATTGAGAGACAGGCAAACGGATGCTGCTGATGAAAGGCGAATGACGCTCAGAGTCCAAGTGGAATGCCGCGCATGCCTTTGCCATGCTCTCCAGCGGCAATCAATTCGATGACTTTGACATTGGGGGTAGTCCATTATTAAGCTATCGATAAGCTATCTATTGCTCGGAGGCTCTGGCTGCCGCCACTCGACAGATGCCAATCAACGAGTAGCACAAGAAATAAGTTTCACATTTAGCCCGACGAGCACTCGAGCATCGAATCGTGTCAACCTCTTGTCAAGCTCATGTCAAATGCGATTGGCAGTTGTCAGTAAAACCAAACTTACTTCAGGCTTGACCTATCGATGGGTTGTCAATTGTAGATCATATTCAATGGTCAGCTAGGGCACAAATTTAACACATTTCAGATTTAGCCTCCTGTCAAGCTCATGTCAAATGCGTAGCGACGGTTGTCAATGGCTAGACTTACTATACACGTGATCTATTGACAGTTTATCGATTATAGATTATATTCAATTGTCAGCTGAGGCTCAAATTCCAGTTTCACCACTTGTCAAGCTCAAGTCAAATGGTGTCGCGTGACCTATCGATAGTTTATCGATTATTGGCACTTTCAACTGTCAGCTAAGACTCAAAGTTTTCATATTCAAGATGCGTATCTTGTCAAGCTCATGTCAAATGTGTATGTCAGCTGCCACGCGTGACCTATCGATACTTTATCGATTATTGTCATATTAAACTGTCAGCTAAGACACGTAAGTTTTCATTTTCAAGATGAGTCTCTTGTCAAGCTCGCGTTGAATGTGTATGTCAGCTGCCACGCGTGACCTATCGATAGTTTATCGATTATTGGTGTATTCAACTGTGAACTAAGACACAAATTTTTCATATTCTCTTGTCAATTTCATGTCAAGTGTGTATGCCGGCTGTCACGCGTGACCTATCGATAGTTTATCGATTATTGGTGTATTCAACTGCGAACTAAGACAAAGTTTTCATATTCACTGGTCAAGCTCTTCTCGAATGTAATTGTCAGTTGGCTACGAATCCGTCTTATGCAGGCTCCAACTCTCGCTATCTCATATTAAGATTTGAAATGTGCTAAAATGTCATTAACATTGCTTTAACATAGTCTTAAAGGAGAACAGATTTCATACCAAACAAACTTTCAATATTGAATTAAAAGTGTCTTACAGGCTTCAGCTTATATCTTCTCACTCTTTTCTGCGCCGTCTCGCTCTCCCTCTCTGCGGTGCCCCCCTCCAGCAACAGCTCTTAAAACGCACTCCAACCATTGCCGCAATAATTAATCTCTGTTTCTTGTTTACATCAACTCTGTAAAATCTCATTTAATGCTGTCCCCAGCAAAATAACGAGACCAAACGAGAGGAAAACAAAAACAAAACCCAATTTCGCAATTGGCAAAATGAAATGTCTGGCATATCGTACGCTCCGCTATTGCCGATCAAATGGGACGCAGCTCGAGACAATTTGCCGCCACATATTTATGAGCACATTTCGGTGGCGCCTCGTCGATTGCCCCCGAACTGCGAGTTCGTTGCCTAAGTCTTTCGTTTCGAGATCTGCTCGCGGCTCGCAGTTCGCAGTTCGCAGTTCGGATGTCGAGAGTCGAGTCTCTTGAACTTTGTTGGCCAGGCTACCATTTGGGCATTATGTAAAGATCGGGGCACAAATGATTTATAGAGCCGCATAAACAGTCAATAAATACGTTGTAAATTGCAGTCAACAAAACATTTTGATGGATCGAATGGGCATGGAACAGCCAGCACGAACGATAAATGAAAAGGAAAAACTGAACAGACCCAACAACAACAACAAGATTTGTCTACGGCATAATTTCAATAATAAATTTCCATAATTTTCAACTTGTTTTGCTGTCGATTGGCGATGGTTTGTTGTTGTTGTTGTTGTTGTTTGTTTGCTGCAAGTGAAGCGTAGAATTACGTGAAAGAAAAGTGAAATTATGCAGCGTGTAGACGAAACGCAACAACAAGTTGTTGCTACAATTGTTGCTGTCTCTCTCTCTCTCTCGCTCTTTCTCTCTCTCTCTTTCTCTCTGTGTGATGCGTGAAAGCCACCACAAACGTTGACGCGTCGCCTCATTCGATGCGTGCGACCCAATTTCCAAATTCAATTGCAAGTTCAAGTTTTATTTCTATATATGTATCTTGGGCACATACCCATTCAAGTTGTCGCAGGCTATGTACGACTCAATAGGCCTATTTGACTGCAATTGTGGCCATCGTTCAGCTATATGGTTTCACTTAAAGGAACGATATAGGAGCTCATGCCATGAGACTAACATAAGATTATATCGATAGGAAAGCAGTTCGATTTATCTGAGTGTAATATTTCTAGTTAGCTCATTCATAGGACAGCCTCGGTCTCTGTTTTTTTTTTCAGGCCAAGGCTGAATTTGTAAGAAATCACTTCAATTTCATGCTATTTCCAGGCTAGTAATTCCTCCACTGATTGCAACGATCAATCGATTATCGTTTTGCCATCACAATCAGCCGCATTGCATCAGCTGCTTGGCGCAGTGTCGGAAACTATTTTGAATTATATCCACACATTCGAATAGCGTTCGACAATTCATAATTAAATGGCAAATCGAATTGCCTATTTCAACAGCTGTGTGTTATCGATAACTCGAGTTCGAACTGCTTAAATGTTGTTACGGGAAAATGGATTACCTTCGCTTGATCAAGTAAAATGAGCATGTGCAATTCAGTATTTCACTACCGCTCTCTCTCTCTCTCTCTTTCTCTTTATTTCTCTCCCTCTTTCTGACACGCTCTTTCTTTCTCGCTCTGTCTTTCTTTCTGTCTTTATCTTTCATTCTTTCACTCTCTCCTTCTTTCCCTCTCTCTCTCTCTTTTACTTTATCTCTCTCTCTCTTTCTCTTTCCCTTCCTCTTTCTCTGTCTCTTTCTCACTCCCTTTCTCTCTTTCTCACACACTCTTTCTCGCTCTGTCTTTCTTTCTGTCTCTATCTTTCATTCTTTCTCTCTCTCCTTTCCCTCTCTCTCTCTCTCTCTCTCTCTTACTCCCTCTCTTTCTCTTTCCCTTCCTCTTTCTCTCTCATCTCTCTTTCTGTGTCCCTCGTTCTTTCTCTCTCCCCTTTTCTCTCTTTCCCTCTTTCTTTCTCTCTCTCTCACTCTTTCTCTCGCTATATCTCTCCCTCTTTCTCTATCTCTCTTTCTTTCTCCCTCTCACTTTCTTTCTCTTAATCTCCATCTCAGTCTCAGTCTCCCCTTCGTTTAGTTCTACAGGGTATCTCAAGCGTCGTTTCATGCCGTATGCTCCATAGCTCCATTGAGGCTTTACTTCTACTTTAAGCACATTCTTTCACTTGTCAATTGACACGCAGCGCACGTTTGGTACACATGTCACCTATCTCTCTCTCTCTCTCTGTCTCTCGTTCGCTCTCACTCACTCCCAGTCTACCTTCTCTTTGCAGCTGCGCCTGAGGCGGAAGCAGAAGCAATACCAGCAGCGAAGATGATGATGATGATGTCGCCAGCAGCGGCATCAGCGTCGACCGACTGCAGCAGCAGCAGCATGCAGGGCTCGACGACGAGCAGCGCCTCGAGCGATGTGATGACGCTGACCACAACGGCGGCGTCGTCGTGGTGCGCGATGCCGGCCAGCACACGGTTGCGTGTGGTGCGGCTGGTGCGGCCGCATCAGCGCCGGCTGCTGGTGGTGCCCGAGCGCAGCGCCACATTCGGCTTTGCGGTGCGCGGCGGCAAGGAGCACGGCATCGGGTTCTTCGTCTCGCACGTGGAGCACGGCGGCGAGGCGCAGCTGAAGGGCCTGCGCGTAAGTGGATCAGCCCAAGAATGTGGGTCAGTCACGCAGCGCACATTATGCCACTTACGTGACTGCACCACCCAGTTGAGCGAGCTTCGCTTCGAATCGCCGTTAAGCGCGACTTTCCCTAACTCCCATCTAACTTCCATCCACAGATTGGCGACCAGATCTTGCGCATCAATGGCTATCGACTGGAGGATGCGGTGCACAAGGAGTTCATCCAGCTGGTGGCCAGCCAGGATCGGGTCACGCTCAAGGTGCGAGGCGTGGGCATGCTGCCAGTCAAGGAGTAAGTCTGAATCCAATCATAAGAAACTAATTGAACTGAACATGACAAACTGATTGACAAGTTGATTGACTGTTGATTGATGAGTTTGATTGATTGATTGATTGATTTAAGCTGAGATAGAATATGCCCGAGACAGTTTGGAAGTTGATTGCATCTTATGTTCAAGCAATTTTGAAAGTTTACTCGAAGTGATTGATGAAGATGATTGACTGTTGGTTGATGAGTTCGATTGATTGCTTTAAGCTGAGCTAAAATATACCTGAGCAAGTTTAGAAGTTGATCGCTCGAGTCTTATGTTCAAGCAATTTTGATAGAATATATTTTAAAAGTTTATTCAAAGTGATTGATGAAGATGATTGACGGTCATAAGAGACTAATTGAACTGAACATGACAAAGTGAGCAAGTTGACTGACTGATGATTGATGAGTTGGATTGATTGCTTTAAGCTGAGATAGAATATACCTGAGACAGTTTGGAAGTTGATTGCTCGAATCTTATGTTCAAGCAATTTTGATTGAATACATTTTGAAAGTTTACTCAAAGTGATTGATGAAATTGATTGACTGTTGATTGATGAGTTCGATTGATTGAGTTAAGCTGTGCTAAAATATACCTGAGCAAGTTTAAAAGTTGATTGAATATATTGTGAAAGCTGAATTAAATATTAGCTCAAAGTGATTGATGAAGATGATTGACTGTTTTTTGATTGATTCTGACTCTCAATACTACTTCAATCAACTAACTTTAACTGAGTTCAATCTTAGTATAGATTGATTGACTCAATAGAGTCTAGTTCCCGACTTTGATTGATGATGATTGACTGTTGGAAGTTTAGTTTGTGTTCATAAATGATAGAGTTTAATCAATACTTCCGCTTGTCATTAAATTAAAGGACATTCTGCCCTTCGATTCAATCAATCTTGATTGATGATAACGCTGTGATTGATTCTATGATTGACAGTGATTATAATTTGCTCTAGAGCTTATCATCTGTCTTTTAGTTAATATCAGTCAGGGCTGATTGATGCACATGATGATTGATACTATGATTGATAGCTTCTGAATGCAAGTCCGATGGAAATAGAATGCTTGATTGATTGACATGTCTCTCTATCCACATTTAGTTAGTTTATAGCGTAAATTACATAATTATACACACTGATTGAGTCTTGATTGATAACCACCTCACGATATTTGCAGCCAGCCGGATGAGCGTCTGTCCTGGAGCGTGGTCAAGCTGCCCAGTGTGAGTGGCACGCCCTCGGAGAGCTCGTTCAAGGCGACGACGGAGCGACGGACGGCCAGCCGGGACATCAATGTGGTGCTGCATGTGGCGCCGCGCACCAAGCTGGGCCTGGGCATATGCAAGGGGCCCGAATGGAAGCCGGGCATCTTCGTGCAGTTCACCAAGGAGCGCAGCGTGGCGCGGGAGGCGGGTCTGCGGCCGGGCGACCAGATACTCAGCGTGAACAGCATCGACTTCTCGGACGTGCTCTTCAGCGAGGCCGTGGCCGTCATGAAGGGCTCCAGCAAGCTGGACATGGTGGTGCGCACCGCCGCCGGCTGCGATCTGTTTCCCGGCGAGTCCAGCGGCTACAACAGCTCGGCCAGCTCGGTCACTGGCGACCAGAGTCCCTGCTGGGCGGACGCCAAGTCCAAGCGACTGACGGCCGTGCGCGAGGAGCCCGCCCAGGCAGCTGCCTCGGCTGGTGCGGCGGTGCAGGTGCACAAGCAGCTGAACAAGACCATCATCAAGCTGACCGAGAACGGCACCTCCATCAACAGCACCTACATAGCCAACGCCTGCGGCGCTCAGCAGCTGCAGCGTGAGCACGAGCACACTCTGGAACAGCTGTCGGTCAGCCGCAGCACCACAATGCGGCGCAGCTGCTCGGTGGCTGCGCCCATACCACCGCCGCCAGCTGCAGCGGGGGCAGCGGGGGCAGCACCGGCGCCCAGCAGCAGCAGTGCGGGCAGCAGTCTCTCCAGTGCCATAACCGACGAGCTCAAGAAGCGCAAAGAGGTAAGGCAGCGGAGCTGATGGGTGGCAGAATACCCTGTAGAATATAGGATATGGAATATAGGATATAGAATATGGAATATGGAATATCGAATATGGAATATAGAATATAGAATATAGAATATAGAATATAGAATATAGAATATAGAA